ATTTTTTTTTTTTTTTTTTTTCTTTATACCGGGAATCAAACTTTGGACCTTGTGGTTGTGAGGCAGGAGGTGGAACCACTGAGCTAAATCCCCTGCCCTTTTCTCAGTAATTCTTCAAAATGCAAGATCTCAAGATCTTTCTATCCCTGGTCATAATAACATCGGTGAAAAAATTTTCAGCGTATTTGTGTTTATTTGTTTGTTTGTTTTTTTTTGGTGGTACTGGGGATTGAACTTGGGCCCTTGTGCTTGCAAGACAGGCAGTGGAACCACCGAGCCAAATCCCCAGCCCTTCAGCGTATTTGTGCCTTCTGCTTTATTTCTGTGTTACTGCAGGCAGTACAGGTTTGGGTTACTACCCTTCTCTGTGGTTTCTGGAGAGGAGCACTCAAGCCCATCGGGTGCTGAGAGGTGATTGGTGTGTGGGGGCTAGAGTAACGTGCAGGGCTTTGAGTGGCGTCCCAGTCTCGCTGGGAACACACCATGTGTCCTTCCACCATGCAGTGTCGTGGGGATGTCCCTGGAACCTATCCCTGCTGTCGGGGAAGAGAAGGAAGAGGAGTCGGCAGAGCAGGGGACAGAGGGAGTGGAAGAAGACACTTCAGCGGATCCCACACACTCCCTGAGTGCTGAAGGTAGCCTGGGCCCTTTTCTGGACAGTAGATTCTTCTGTGTTCCTTTAACATGAGCATTCTGGTTTCTCATGATTAAATTGAGCCAGTAAGAAATTTGCTCATTATTTAAAATATTTCATCTAATTGTCCAAGAACTTGCAGTTTGTTGAATAGTCCCCTTTCTGTATGGTGGCTTTTTCTCCTTTTATATTCATTCTTTTTCAAAAGTTTTTGGACTCTGAATAGCTTTTTGTATGGCTTATAGTATGTCTTTGTGTAGGCATAGTGTACTGTATGGGATGCTTATGCTTATAAGGCTTTATGATACTCCAGTTTTTGCTTCATTATATGTTTTTCCCCTTCATTTTTAATGCATTTCTTTCTTTCTTTCTTTCTTTTTTTTTTTTTTTTTTTAAACTGGGGATTGAACTCTGGACTTTGCACTTGTGAGGCAGGTGGTGGCACCACTGAGCTAAATCCCTGGCCCTTAGTGCATTTATTCTTGATTTTTCTTTTCCTTCCTTTGTTTTTTTTTTTTTTTTTTTTGTGGTGCTGAAAATTGAACCTAGGGTCTTGTGTGACTCTTTTTTTTTTTTGAAGTATTTTTGGGGGCGGGGCTTTGATGTGAAGAACTTACTGTGATCTTGTTTTGCTACAGGACAGCAGCTTGCACCTGGACAAAGTTGTGGATGATCACTGATGTCTTGAGTTTTGTCCTAGATCCTGCTTCCTCACAGCTGGGCTTTGGGGTCCTAGAACTCTCTCAGAGTCAGGATGTGGAAGGACGTACTGTGCCGTACGAAGTGGACAGAGAGCAACCACAGTTAATCACCACCGCCTCTGCCTATACCAGGCTCTCCAATGTGGATGCAGATGCTGGTATGGAGTGTTTTCTCACTTCTGGAGTTGTTTATGATGATGTTCTCTTCCCAGGTTGGAGCTAGGTATTTCTCCTTTGATAAGTTTTTTAGCTATCTAAATTAAGACAGTCTTAAGTTGTTGCAATAAGTTTGCAGTTAGCTGGTAAATACTTGATGGCTTGCAGATTGAGATGTTCTGTAAGTAGGTTATTGATTGCTTTCCCTTTTGGAAATATTTTTAAAATTGGACTTACTTCTTTAAAATCTTTGCATTTTAAAAATCATTTGGGGGCCGGGGATTTAGCTCAGTGGCTCTGCACCTGCCTTCCAAGCACAAGGTCCTGAGTTTGATCCCTGGTACCAAAAAAACAAAAATCATTTGAAGGGCTGGAAATGTAGCTCAGTGGTAGAGTACTTGTCTAGCATACATTAGACTTGGTTTCATTCATTTCAGACTGCTTCTAGTACTTTGAAAAATGTCATCGTCTTATCTTTTTTCCCTTCCTTTTGCTTTCTTCTGAAACTAAGCAGTTAAGCATGAAGAGCGGTGTGGTGGAGATGCTCCTGTGACACTGCAGCCCAGTCAAGTTGGGCACGTGGTGGAAGAGCCAAGTCCAGCAGTGGGAAGGTAAACCGAGCTTTTCCTAAAAGGCATTCATGGGATTTTGCTTATGCTGAGTGGATATTTTTTTAGGAGTTGTTGATTCTTTTGTTCCCTCGTAGTTGGCATATTTCTGGTCTGATAGGAAGACTGATTACCTGTAAACCTTATTTATGCAGTCCATTGTGTACTCATCATAACATGCCTTTTACAGAGCAGCTCTGTTGGTGTAGTAATAAATCCTGTCCCAGTCTTTGGTCGCTGTTTCCTCCTCTGTAATCTTTCTGTACAGAGCCACTGTTTCTAGAGGAGGTCTTTTCATTTTATTTTATTTTATTTTATTTTATTTTATTTTATTTTATTTTATTTTATTTTATTTATTTATTTATTTTGGTACCAGGGATCAAACTCAGGCCCTTGTGCTTGCAAGGCAGGCAGCAAAACCACTGAGCCAGATCCAAAACTGGATTTTTTTTTGCGGGGGAGTGAAGGCAGAGTTTCACCCTGTAATTCAGGCTGAGCTTGAACTCATGGCAGTCCTCCTGCTTCAGCCTCCCAAGTGCTGGGATTATTGGCATGTGCCAAAACTCTAAAACTCCTGACTCTAAAACTAGATTTTAAAATTTGACCTAATTCTTTTTTGTTGTTGTTTGCTTGTTTGTTTTTTTGAGACAGGGCCTCACTATGTAATGGAGACTGACTTGGAACTCACTATGTAGCCCAGACTGGTCTCGAATTTACAGTGATTCTCCTGCCCCAGCCTCCCAAGTGCTGGGATTACAGGCGTGTGCCACCACGCCCGGCTTGACCTATTTCTATTAAAATATTTCATTGGCTAGGGTGATAGCTCAGTGGTAGAGAGCTTGTCTGCAACAGCTGGGGGCTGCACTTGGCAGAGGAAAACTGGGAGGCTTTTGTTTTGAATAAGTATCCAGTATTGTTTTGCTATTTCCTTCAGTAGAAAAGGTGAGCAATGAGGTCCTGAATAAAGTTGAGTGTTGAGGAGTTGTCTTTCTGATATAAAACACTTAGCTTAACAGTGGATACATTGTTAGGTTTTTCTTCAGGAAGTTGTCCTTCCAGCTATTTCTTTTTCTTTTTTTTTTTCCCCCTGATACTGGGGATCGAACTCTGGTCCTTGCCCTTGCAAAGCAGGTGCCAGAACCACTGAGCTAAATCCCTGGCCTCCCTTCCAGCCATTTTTGCATCCTGTTTACTCTGGGTAGTTGTAGGATAGGTGACAATTTGTGGGAAGCGACCAATATGATTGTCTTACCAGGCAAGGTGGCACATACCTGTAGTCCTGGCTACCCAGGAGGCTGAGGCAAGAGAATCGCAAGTTTGAACCAGCCTGTGGCAACTGGCAATTTAGTAAGACTCTATCTAAGAAAAAAAAATGCCTGGAATTGTAGCTGCTTATGTTTAATCCCTGGCACTGAGAAATAAAAAAACTGTTTTCTGTATATGAGTAGTATCAGTGCAAAGAAGTCTTGATTTGCAGCATAGTTGAATAGATTAAACGGAAATGTTCAGCAGAGGTTTAAGTCACATCCACACACTTTCCAGGGAAGTTCACCATTTGCACTGTCCTCTTCAATGGCAATGCTGTGGTCTAGATCAGTATCTTTCATGCAAGTCTTGCAGCTTACAAAACAGAAGTCTCCACATTGCTCTGCAGAAAGCTTGGGAAGCAGCTTAGCAGTGAGCTGAACTGAAGACCAGTGTGAGGCTCAGGCAGGCTCTGAAATGAGCTTAGGGCTTTGTAGAGTAACTGCTTTTGCTCTTGGTATAGATTAGAGCCACTGAGAATTTTGGAATTATTAAAGAAAAATAGAAAACAGCTTTTTAGTGAACAGATGAAAGACTGAATTCAGCAACTTTTTCTCCTCGTGGTATGACTTCTTTAGGTCAGAAGACCTGCCTTCTAGTCCCAAAGTGTCTCATGCTGCTATGGAAACAAAAGAACAGACATCTGTTCAAGAACTTCTGGAAGGTGAATTACAGATTGAGAAATCACCAGAGCCTGAGGTTTTTTCAACTCAGGAAGACTTGTTTGACCAGAGCAATAAAACAGGTATAAAGCATGATTAGTTGTTATACTTAGCTCCTCTTCTCCAAAGATCTAATTTTTTTTTGAGTTCTGAAGCTAATCTTTAAATTTAAAGCACTTTAGATATATGCTGACTTGTTTGTGATATGGAAGGGAAATGTTTCTAGCTAATCAGAGAGAAAGGCTTTTGGGGAATGTCTGCTGTGTAACATGTTGATATGGTTTTCTCTTTTGGAAATAAATTTATTGAACAACAAACAGCAGCTAATAAGGTAAATTTGGTGTTATGGAAAGGGTGGCCATTTTTTCTTCTGTTATCATATGTTTACTGAATCTTCAAATCTTAAATATGATAAGTTTTAAGTTTTTCATATTGACTTGGGTAACAGTCTACTTAACTCATTTGTTTGCTAGTTCACCTACTACAAAAAGGAAGTTAGGGTATAACAGACAAGACATAAAACGTAGACGAATAGAATGGTGCTTGTTCCATACACTTTTAGTCCCCCATCCCCCTCATTCTGTAGCCTCAGACAGCAAGAAAGTGTCATCAATAGCCACCCAGATACAATGGATTTTTCATAAGGGACAAAAGAAGACTATTCCTTTACTATTTTATGATGTAACTTACTGTGCAAAACATTCAGAAGGTGACCAAAGAGCCTTTTTTGGTTTCCTCACTGAAGCTGTACTGTTGTATTTAAGGAATTTCTTTACACTTAGGTTGAATATAGTTGATATTCTGTTTGTTGATAAGGAGAAGGGACCAATAGGAAACTTCATAATATAAATCAATATCAGCTGCTCGCATTTTCTTTCTTTTTTTGGGGGGATGGTGGGGTGTACCGGGGATCGAACTCGGGTCCTTGTGCTTGTGAGGCCTTAAGTGGTGGAACCACTGAACTAAATCCCTGGCCTCATATTTTCTTTGGTTAGTGCCTTGGTATTTCTGTCTCCTTTGAGGAGGCCGAGTCCTAATCATGAGAATTGCTGCATTCATACCATCAGGTGTCATGTGCACTGTTTTGACTCCTCCCATCTGCATCATGGCACGAGCTTTACTTTACCTTAAGTAGTAGGCCTGGGAATGAAAGGCTCATTTGCTGTTTTATAATAGAATCATCAATAAGAAAGAGCAGCCAAGCAGTAATAAGGCTTCTGGCTTTTCCTCATCAAGCTTAGATCATGACAGAAAGGACCCAGGAACGTTTTTCTTCAGTACTTTGTTAAACCCATAATTTGAAATGTGTGTGGGGTTAATATTTTACATTATATTTTACTATGATTAGAAAAAAATTTCTGCCCTCAAATCGTGATTCGAAATATGGATGTTACTGGGTTTTTTTGGGAGGGGGGCAAATCAGTAATGTCAGCCTGAGAAGTACATGGAACCAGAATTTATTTTTTTTTCCCTACTAGCTTCTGATGGTTGCTGTACTCCTTCAAAGGAGGAAGGTGGATGTTCTCTGGCTTCCACACCTGCTACCACTCTGCAAGTCCTGCAGCTCTCTGGCCAGAGATCCCTTGTACAGGAGAGTCTGTCCATGTAAGTCGTTCTGCACAGCTATTTCTGAGGGCATTGGCAGATGTTAAAAGAGCTGAATTTGCCTGCCAGTCCAGAATTCTCACTAAACCAAAAAGTAGAACCTAGGCCTTAGAATTCCTGGGATAAGAACTAAATTGTAACGATCAATGGCAGATAGTTCTGTTTCCTATATAGAGGCTAACAATAGATCAAAATTTTCACCAGGATGAAAAAGGCCCAGTTATTTAGAACATGTTACACATCCCAAATAAGCATTCTGGTGTTTTATATTACCAGCATTTCTTCTTGATTAACATTATAGGATAGAAAATAAATGGGTTGTTATAGTTAACAGTAGTTGAATTTCTTCATCTCAGTAGCAAGGCAGAGAGATTTGCTGTTTTGATTTTTGTTTGTGTATGCTTTTAAGTAGAAATATGTACTCTTCCTAATCAGGCAAAAATGGTATTTTTTTTTTCTATGTCTCAAACCTGCAGTGACATTTTTTAGCACTTGTTCATTGTTTTTCAATCATGATGTCCTTATGTCTGGTCATCCACTTTGCTCTAACTCTTTTTTAAAAATTCTTAATATTAGAAATGTCTGAAGCCAGGTGTGGTGGCACACACCTGTAATCCCAGTACTTGGGAGGCTGAGGCAGGAGGATCTAGAGTTTGAGGCCACCCTGGTATACATAGTGAGCTGAAGGCCAGTGTGGACAATACAGTGAGACCCTGTCTCAAAAGAGCACAAAAGAAAGAATGAGCGAAATATCTGGTGTGGGAATAGTTAGTTTATTCAGTGGTTCTTCCACCAGTCTTAGATTGTTGTTTGGGAGAAATGCTATTAGGTAATGATCTAAATGACTTAAGTAGTTTTGCTATTGCAAACTATGAAAACTATGGCTATGGTAAAATAACCTGTGGTTCTCTCTTTATATAAAGGAATTCCTCAGATCTTGTTGCTCCTTCCCCTGATGCTTTCCGATCTACCCCTTTTATCGTTCCTAGCAGTCCCACAGAGCAAGAAGGGAGAAAAGGTGAGCACTCTTGATTTGTCTGTTAATCTCAGGTGAGAAGAGGAATTGGGGATGGGGCTTAGTGGAGAGTATGTGCCAAGCATGCTCAGGCCCTGGGTCTGATCCCCAGCTCTGCACAGAAGTGAGGAATGTGTATTTCTTTGTACTCAGAACACTGTCCCCTGTCCTTTGGGGACCCTGTCTCTAGTCATCAGGGATATGACCTAGTGCAAAGTTTTTTGGCACTTGGCTTGGATGCTTCTGAGAGTTTTGTATTGTTGATTCAATTTTTACAAAAGCCATTAAGAAAAAATTTTTATATCTTTCAAATGAATTAGTATGGTGATGAACTGTTTTTTTTTTTACTAGCAGACTACTAGTTTCAGGTAACACCTTAACATGTTTCTGGTAAGAGGGAACCTGTGATTGCTTTTTGTGCTCTTTATAGGTTATTTTTGCTATTAAAAACATTTTATTTGCTGGGCGTGGTGGCACACACCTGTAATCCCAGCACTTGGGAGGCTGAGGCAGGAGGATCGCTGTGAGTTCGAGACCAGCCTGGGCTACTCAGTGAGTTCCAGGACAGTCTCAACGACATAGTGAAACCCTGTCTCAAAAAACCAAAAAAAAGAAAAAAATTATTTTAATTTATTCCTTTTCTCCTTTGAGTACTCAGCTGATTTTTGTGTTGTTTTATTCACAACAAAGCCTTTCTTTTGACTCACCTTTTGTTCCTGGTGGTACTGGAACCAGGACCTTGGATATGCTAGATAAATGCGCTAGTGCTGAGCTGCACCCTCAGCGCTTTATGTTTTCCTTTGAGGCAGGATCTCAGTAAGTGGCCCAGGCTGTAATCTGAATGCCTAGTATTTCTGCAAAGCTTTTGCCCATAAATTTTGTGATTGTCTCCTTTTTATCCTTCATGTCAGTAATGTTACAGTAGTCAGTTTTTTTTTTTTTGGTACCAGGGTTTGAACTTGGGACCTGGCGCATGTGAAGCAGGCAGCGAAACCACTGAGCTAAATCCCTGGCCCCCCAGTAGTCAGTTTTTACTGAGCACTGAATGTGTGTCAGACACTCTTCTAGGTTCTTCTCTGTGGTTCCACGTGCCTCTCTACAGTTTTTCTCACTGAATCTTCACAACATCTAAGCAGGAGGTGTCATTTTTGTCCCCATCTTACCGATCAGGAAATGGAGGCATGGGGCTGTTTCATGAGCGGTGAGATGTAGCGGTAGGGTTTGGAATTGTGCTTGGGCAGTTGCCTCCTGAGTGTGTGCTCTTGTGTGTCAGGTATACGCTGCTGGTGATATCCTGCTGTCTATGCTGTAACTACTGTACAGAAATACAGTCAGCTATTTTTCCAGTTTAATTTATATATGCAGAGTGAGACTTTTTTCTGTCTCCACATATGTCTCCAGCTGTTTTCTTTTGAAAACACTCACTCGAAGTGTCCAGATAAAAGTAGTGTCATTCTGGTTATAACATGATGAGTGACATCTTCAATAGAAAGGCAAATCCATCCTACAAAAAGCCCTGTTAATGCAAATTGAAAGTTTGATTTTTTTTTTTTTCATTGAGCTTATTGATACTTTTGAGTTCTACAGTGCAGTTACATTCATCATTGGGATTTTGTACCTTTACATGACAGGTCTTGGTTCTCATTTTTTCCCCAAGTTTGATTAATTCTTAGAAGAGTTTTTTCCATCTGTAGTGCGCACACTGAAAATATATAAAAATAATTGTATTTAAAATCCTTTTTCCCTGATTAGAAACATAATGCTCATTGTAGAAAATTTAGAAAATGTGGGGTCAGGGATTTATTTAGCCCAGTGGTTCCGCCACCTACCTCGCAAGCTCAAGGTCCTGAGTTTGATCCCTGGCACCAAGAAAAAAAATAAAAAAAGAAAATTTGGAAAATGAATAGGAAATTAATAAGAAGAAAATAAAATGACCTGTAATACCACATTCCAGATTTAATTACAGTTAGTATTTGGATACCTTCCTCTGAGAGTCCTTTCTATGCATAAATATGAAAAAGTATTTTTACACAGTTGGCATCGTATTATGTATGTGGTTCAGTTTTTTCCATGTAACATTTTTCAATGTCAGTGTATTTCAGATTTAATGCATTTGCTTAATATGTGTATCAGTGTTTGTGAGACTCTATATACTTTTTACATTTATTTGGTTTTTGCTGTCTTACTAACCTAAAGTATTTTCATACGTGGTGTGTAAAGTAATGGGGCCTTAATGTGTTTTGTTAAAAAAAGTGTCACAAGGTGCGATGAAGGTGCTGAGCCCCACAGTGGCAGCCTGCTAAAGGCCTGCAGTGCCAGATTCCCAGCTAGAGGAGATCGGTGTATGATGTGGAGGCCAGCCAAGCAGCAGGGCAGGCTCTAAGGCTGGGTGTAGAGGTGGGAGCACTCCCACAGCCTTGGGAGGAAGCTGTGAGATGGAGGAAGGATGATGTCATGTCCGCAGAGAAGGCACCCGTGTGTTTGTCCCCTCCTGAGTAGTTTGTGTTGAATCTAGTGACTTCTTAGCACTTCATTAAATTGGTGCTGATTGGCACTGATAGATTTTTTCCTTCCTTTTTAGTTTTATTGGCATTCATATTTGTACCCTTGCAGTTGTTAATGAAAATATAACAAATTTGTAAATACATAGGTATTTAGTGTGGTGAGCAAATTCACTGCCTTTCAAATCCTGGGGCAGATTATATGGTGGTTAAATTAAGTGGCATTAATCTGGGCATTCCTGCACAGAATGAGAAAACAAGCTCTATATAGTTGAGGAAAGGGTTGAGGAGCCAGTTAGCATAGCATAAATGGTTATGTATCCCCAGATTTTCTATTTTGATCAGTACATGTTTGCAGTACATACTGTCTACATTCATCGTTTGGAGTTGGTACACATACATAACTCGTCTTAATTCTTTTTATATCTCTATTCCCTTCTCACCCTTCCTCCCCTCTCCATCTTGGTCCTCTTCCTATTTGCAAAACCCAGATTTAATCTAATGGAAGCATGGTTACTCCTCCCCCCAGAAAGAAAATATTCCTAGGACTCAGTCTATTACTATTGTGTTATTCTTTTGAATGTTAAAATTATTATTACTTTTTTTTTAAAGACAGGGTCTCACTGTCTTTAGGTTGACCTTGAACTCACTGTGTAGCCCAGTTTGGCCTCATACTCATGGTAATCCTCCTGCTTCAGCCTCCCAAGTATTGGTGTTAGAGGAGTGCGCTACCAGCCTAAAGTCATTATTATTATTTTTGGTACCAGGGATCGAACTCAGGACCTTGAGCTTTTGAGGCAGGCACGGTGCCAGTGAGCTGAATCCCTGGCCCATAAAGTCATTCTTTTTTTATGAGAAGAAACTTATGTATATTTATTGTTTATGATGCTGGAACATGAGTAATATTGACAAGTGATTATTTGTTTTTCTTGTTTTAAACCAGATGAGCCAGTGGATATGTCATTGGTGTCTGAGGGAGTGGGGGGGCCTTTTCAAAAGAGACTCCAAGCCAGTGATCCAATGCAGATAGAAAACACACCACTTCCACCTGCGGGTGCTGGGTCCCCGCAAGCCTCGACACCTGTGTCTCAGAGCACCCCAGTGTTTACCCCTGGCTCCCTTCCTGTCCCATCGCAGCCCGAGTTCTCACATGTAAGTATTGTGAAAAGTTTCTGTTTTCTCCTAACATCTTTTTTTGTTGTTATTAAACAGCTTTATTGAGGTATAATTTATCAACCATAAAATTTAGCTATTTCAGTGTATTATTTAGTGATAGTTTAATGACTCTACAGAGTTGTGTACCTGTCTTCACAGTCAAGTTTAGAACATTTTCAGTCACTAACATCTTAATACACTTTTTACATTTAAATTTTGTGCTGTATCTTTTTGTTTTTGGTACCAGGGATCAAACTCAGGTCCTTGTGCTTGCGAGTCAGGCAGCAGAACCACTGAGCTAAATCCCCAGCTTTTTTTTTTAATTTCTTGAGACAGGGTCTCACCATGTAGTTGAGACTGCCCTGGAACTCACTGTGTAGCTCAGGCTGGTCTCAAACTCACAGAGATCCTCCTGCCTCCGGAGTGCTGGGATTACAGGCATGCGCCACCACACCCGACTTTGTGCTTCATTTTTAAGCTTTTTGAAAATGTTACTCTAAAATCGAAAGAGGTCATAGATCATCCTGTCATTTTTGTCTTTCCACTTGCCTAATTTTTTCAAGAAGAAAACCATTTATAGCAAACCTACAACTTGAATCTTTTCTCTGTTAGCTTTTGTCATAATAATTTTTAATGTTATATTGTCTTCATATCCTTTCAAAAACTAATGTTTCTGAGTAGTTGTACAGTAATCTCATTACTCTTTCCTCATTTCTGCACTGAGGATATCAGGATGCTTTTTAGATTGTTTTTGGTTTTCCCTAATACTAGAGATCAATCTCAGGACCTTGTGCTTGCCAGGCTGGCGCAGTACCACTGAGTGACATCCCTGACCCTGTAGGTTTTTGATATATATTTTTTTCTAACAGAGAAAGGAAACTAATACCTAATTTGCATAATTTGAAAGAAATGAAATACAACTTTCATAGTGAGGTGCAGGTCCTTAGGTGCATCTAAATGACTGTACTGTATATTCAATGTAAGTGCTTGATTTAGGGCTGAGGATGTTACTCAGGGGTAGAATGTGTTCCCAGAATGTGAAAGAATGGCTCTGGGTTCAATCCCTAGTGCTGAGAGACCAAAAATGCCTGTTCTTGTAAAGGTTTTATTGGAGAATGTCTCTCATGCCTTCTAGTTTACAGGTGTTGTAATAAGAGTGTATTCAAAAGTAAAATTTGGAAACAAATAATAATGGAACATGCCATGAATTTAGGGAGGAGATGGTAGGAAGGAAGAAATGTAATTGCTTTCCAGAGTTTTAAAACTTGTTTTGCTGAAGAATTCTGTTTAAGGAATCATTAGCAGGAATGTGATAGAGTGGTGAAGAACAAGGACCCCAGTCAGGATCTCCTGGAGCCACTCCTGCTTCTTCTGTTATTGTTGTGTCCAGTCAGAACTGAGCCTCCTTTTCCTCCTCAGTCAAATGGGGACTTACATTTTTCTTTCTTTATTTTTTAATTTTGCTGTACTGGGGATTGAACCCAGGACCTTCGCAATGAACTATTACCATTTAACATTGTTTAATTTTTAATTTTTTTCTGGTACTGGGATTGAACTAGAGTCCTTATGCTTGCAAGACAGGCAGTGGAACCACTGAGCTAAATCCCCGGCCCCTTGTTTAACTTTTGATACAGAGTCTGACTATGTTGCTCAGTTGCCCAGGCTGGGCTTGAATTTGAGATGCTCTTGCCTCAGCTTCTCAGGGTTCTGTAGTAGAGGCCATGATTGGATCCAGCTCATATGGGGATATTGATAACTTTCTACCCTCCAGAGTTCTCTTGAAGGTTAAAGGAGTTGTTATGTATAAAGTCTCTAGAATGATGCCTCATATGTGGTAAATACCGCATAAAGTATTTATTGTTGGCAATGAAAGAGTTAAATAGAGCTGAAGTAGATGTTTAGCTATGGTCCATTTTGGTCTTTAGTTTTCCTGTTGCTATACAATTCTTATTTATTTATTTATTTATTTTTGGGTACCAGCGATCAAACTCAGGACCTAAGCAGGTGGCAGAACCACTCAGCTAAATCCCTCTCCCCTGCTGCTATAAAATTATACATGAGCATAATATAGAACAGAAGAGCCTTTGGGATTAGCAGAGAAGTTGTAAGCACTGACATAAAGCTCTGGAAGGAATATTCTGGACAATGAAGACAGCAGTTGCAGATGTTTTTCAGTGAGAGGGTAGGACTTTGATAATGAATCTTTGCAGAGGAGTCTATACAGTGAGAGAAAACACTAGCTGCACAGAGATCCAGCTTTGTGAGGAGCCGTGCACTTGTTGGGAGAAATTGTTCTGCCTCAGCATTTATAAAATAGGTTTAACAGCATCTAGAAAACCAGCAGTGAAAATATGATATAAATAAATAATTCTAAGCACACTTCAAAGATTTTCTGGAGTCTAAGATGACTGATCACATTTCTTTGTAATCATATTTTAAGATGATTCAGCAGTACAAGTCCATGCCTGTTAGAAAAAAACATTCTCTCAAGAGGACTTTACAGCATAGCTTTTTCTGTTAAAGGTTTGATTTTAGGTGATTAGTAAGCAATTGTAAACCAAAAAAAAAAAAAAAAATTGTTGAAAGTCTTTCCTTTACCCAAAGATACTTTCAGTCTCCCCCGCCTCTTTTCAGTCCTGGAGATTGAACCCAAGGCCTTTATACTGAACTATATCCCCAGCCTTTTTATTTTTTAATTAATTGATTTTTTGTTACCAGGGATTGAACTCAGGTCCTTGAGCCTGTGAGGCAGGCAGCAGAACCACTGAGCTAAATCCCTGGCCCTACTCAGCCTTTTTCAATTTTGTCTTTTAATTTTTGTTTTAAGATGGATGTGGTGGTGCACACCTGTAATCCTAGCACTCGAAAGGCTGATGCAGGAGGATTGCTGCAATTTCAAGGCCAGCCTGGGCTACATAGTGGGTTTAAGAACAGCCTGAATATGCAGTGAAACAGTGTCTCAAAAAACCAACAAAACAACAACAAGAAGTATACTTAATTTTTATTTTGAGCAGGGTCTTGCTAAATTCTCCAGTATGGGCTCGAATTTGTAATCCTCTTGCCTTAGCCTTCCAGAGTACTAGGATTGCAAGGCATGTGCCATCACCCCTGGTTTACACTTTCAGTACTTTTTTTCTCTTATCTTCATAAATCCTATTTTTAAAAATGTGAGCCATGTCCCTGTCTTCCAAGTATAGTTCCGTCATCAGTTGGTTTAGGTTGTTACTGCATTACCAGTATGACTGAGCACTAATCACAGCAGAGCTTGTGTAATGTTAGGGTTATCTTACCATGTTTGCATAATTTCTTGTCTCTGAAATTGTTGTCTTTGAAATTCTCACTTCTCAAATCAATCCTAGACTCTTCACTCATTTTCAGAACCTCCTTTGAGGGTACTCTAGGGACCTCAGGCTGTCTGTTTCACCTCTTTGGAGGAAACTGGTTTGCAGCCTTCTGATTTCTGATTGTTGCCCATTGTCACCCTTTGTACCTGTTCATAGCATCATCTCCCTTGGTTGTAGGCCCGAGTGCCCCTGCCCTCCCAGGCTGTGTGCTTTCTTCTCTCTTCTTCCTTGCTTCCTTCTCTATTTGTGGAAGACACTGTGCAGAATCTCTTTTATTTCTTATCTTTTCTTTTTTTGTGGGGGAGTGGTTTGAGACAGGGTCTCACTATGTAGTTGAGACTGACCTGGAACTCACCATGTAACCCAGGTTGGTCAGGAATTCACAGTGATCCTCCTGCCTCAGCCTCTCATGTGCGGGGATTACAGGTGTGCGCCACCATGCCCAGCTCTTTTATTTCTTTAAATGTTTAGTAGAATTTGTCAGTGGGCGGAAAAATAGGCCTAGACATTCTCCTGTGGGAGGTTTTAAATTATGAGATCAACTTTTTTATGTTTTGGAAGTCTCCCTATGTAGCCCAGTCTGGTTTCCAACTCCTGTTTTAAACAATCCTTGTGCCTCTGCAGTAGACCTCCCACCCTGACTTCCTCACCCCACCCGAACACTGAGCCTGTGCTCTCACCAAACTGCTCTCCAGGTCACCTACCTTCTGCATGGCAGCTTGTTCATGATGGAGGCATTCTCTAGGAACCTTCATTCCACTCATACTTGACTTACAGTCCAGTGTGTAAGATTATAAGCATCCAGATTAGTAATATTTTTCTTCGCTGTTTTTTGAGGGCATTGCTATGTTGTCTCGGAACTTCTGATGCCATTCTCGAGAGGTGTCATGCCAGTCTTTAGTATGTGATCTGTTCTTCTTTTTGCCCCCAGCATTCTGAAACCTCCAGGTGTTAGTAGGCATGGTTCTGTTTTTATCTGTTAGATTGGACAATCGGTCGGTTCTCTTAAAATAGCCTTTTTAAATAGCCATACTTTATCATACTATATTTTCTCTCTAAAGATAATAATAATAGTGCCCTCACTCCAGAATCATCACTATTTCTTCCAGGTAAGTGTTAATTTTGTTTTGTTTTTTGAGATAAGGTCAAAGTCCAGGCAGCCTTGAATTCAGTATGTAGCCCAGGCTGGCCTTGAACTTGCAGCAGCAGTCCTCTCCTCTGATCCTCTCATCCTCTACCTCAGACTCTGAGTGCTGAGATTACAGGTGTGGGCCACCATGCCCTGGCCTGATAACTATCAGTTTTTTTTGTTTTGGTTTTTTTTTTGGTGTTGGTGATTGAACTTAGGACCTTGTACTTGCGAGGCAGGCAGCCAAACCACTGAGCTAAATCCCTGGCCCCTATCATTTTTGTTTGATTCACTTTGTTTTCTTTTTAATTTTTTTGGTGTTGTGGATCAAACCTAGGGCTTTAAGTATATGGAGCAGGAGCTCTACTGCTGAACTGTACTCCCAGCCCAATTTTGTCTGCTTTGATCTGTTTAATAGTAGAGATTTCCTTAGATGTCTGGGAGTGTTTGATTATTTACTGATTTTTAAGAGTGATATAGCAGAATGCCACTTCAGATTAGAGTGGTTCTAAGCTGGTGTTTGG